TTTGTCTTACCTGCTTCCTCAGTGCTATTGTAACCGTTAAGTTTTCTGTTACTATGATGTGTTTTGCCCTTTTATTTATTTTAGCCAGCGGACACACCTTTTCCTTTTCAAACTAGTGTGTCAATGGCCTTTCCTTGTAATAACAGTTGACATAATCCTGTTGAGCTTTAAGAAAACACTACCAAGGAAAACACTGGCTGTTTCTAACTTTCTCAGACCTCTGCAAAGAGGGAAGCAGGTCTCAAACCAGGGTCAGGTGGAGAAAGAGATATCAGTGGGTGCAACTAAGAATTTCAGGTTCTCAGGCATACTTCTCTTTGCTTTGGATTTACTTCCTAGCCTCTGGCCTAGGATACTGAATTGTGACAATAATATTTTTCACCTGTCCAGTTGGCAAATGTTTCAAACAAGCAATAACAACACATTGCTGGCAAATACTCAAGGATATGAGCATTCCAGTACTTTGGTGATGGAAGTGTGAATTTTTCTACTATTTTGGCAAATAAATCTGGCAGCAATAACTTGAATTAAAATGACTGTATGTCAGATAGCAACCCTAGTTCATGAATTCTAACTCACATTAAAAAAAGCACCTTTGATAAAGGACATATATAGAATAATGCCTTTTGTAACATTGTTTGTTGCATCAATAAAGCATAAACAATCTGACTGCCCATGAATAGGGAATTGAATAAAACATGCACACATACACGCACAATGGAAAATGATGTATTGCGATCTATCAGTGTCCCAAACAAGAGAGATGTTTACAATATATAGTGAGGTGAAAAAAAGCAAATTCTAAGTAAAGGGGATAATATCAGCCTGTTACAAAAATTAACAGGTTATGTGGTTCTTTTTTCTGGCTGGGACCATGCAAGGTGCAGAAGAGAAGAAAAAGATGGTCCCTGCTATGCCAGGAACCCTTAAAAAAAAAAGCACAGAACTGAACATTGAGAGCTTAAGAAAGAAATTTACCCAAAAGATGTTTTGAAAAACAAGGAAAAAGCTTATCTATGAAAAAGGTAAGCTATCTCAAAGAATATAGACAGATGTACAGACCTGCTACAAGAATAGCTAGGATGGCAAGAAAGTCCGGCAACGTCTATGTACCTGCAGAACCCAAATTGGCAACTGTCATCAGGATCAGTATTAATGGTGTGACCCCTAAGTTCTGAAAGGTGTTGGGGCTTCTTTGCCTTCAATGGTACCTTTGTTAAGCTCAGCAACGCTTCAGTTAACATGCTAAGGAACCATATACTGGAAGGGGGTATCCAAACTTGAAGTCAGTAAATGATGTGTTTTCTTTCCCGGTTATGGCAAAATCAAGAATTGATTGCTGAATCTCTTGGTAAATATGACATTGAATGGAGGATCTGATTCATGAGACCCACACTATTGGCAAATGCTTTAAAGTAGCAAACAACTTTCACTGGTTCTCCCAATTATCTTCTGTATGAGATGGGTTGAAGAAAAAGACCATTCATTTTGTAGAAGGTAGAGATGCTGGCAACAGGGAAGACCAAATCAACAGGCTTATTAGAAGTGTCAAATAACAAAAATTCAACCAAGTAAATTTTTAAAGATCTAATGGGCTTTGTTAATTGATTTATGAATGGAGCAGCATTCCATCTAGCAAGTAGAAAGGAGCTCCAAAGACTATAGAAAAAGAAAGGTAGAGAGGGAGTGAAGGAAAGGAAGTTATAAGCAAAGAATCCATTATTCTAGGTAAGGTCACCTTCCTAGGGGGAGTGAAGGGGCTTATCAGGAAATTCCCTAGTGCTGACCAGGAAATTCTCATGTCGATTGGTTAAAGGTTACATTTTCAGGGGGTTGAAACTGCAGTTAGGTTAGGTGTTAAGTCTTGGTTTACTGACCTGGGGCCTTAACCTAAGTGACACCGCTTTTGGGTCTGTGGTTTTCTTTTTAACAGAAGAATGAACTAAGGTATCTTTCATGATTATATTTGTAATCTGGTCAGTTAATAAACAGTGACAGCTTTCAAATCAAAATGTAAAACAAACAGCAACCCCCCCACCCCACCAAAATAAACAGGTTATGTGATTGACCAAAGAGAGAATGGGATGAGTACTCACCCAATTCTTCATATTTGATACCTAAGGGAGGTATAGGGGAATTTCCTTCCTTCCTTCCTTCCTTCCTTCCTTCCTTCCTTCCTTCCTTCCTTCCTTCCTTCCTCCCTCCCTCCCTCCCTCCCTCCCTCCCTCCCTCCCTCCCTCCCTCCCTCCCTCCTTCCTTCCTTCCTTCCTTCCTTCCTTCCTTCCTTCCTTCTTTCCTTCCTTCCTTCCTTCTTTCCTTCCCTCCCTCCCTTATTATCTCAGAAAAGGGAAGACACAGGAGAAAAGAAAAAGTGGAACACCATTCCGGCAAGGGATGCTAGGTGAGAGGAGTGCTGGATACCAGTATGGCAGCCAGCCTTATTACCTCCCCCTTAATGGGAGCAGAGGGCTTCCTCTCACTTTCTGAGCATAGAGATTTGGAGAAGGATGTTGATGGAGGAGGAAAATGGCTGGACCACCCAAGTTGTCTACAGTTACTGACAGCCCTTCTTTGTAGAGTTGTCTTTAGGTTGCCCAGAGCAAGTCTCCTCCTAGTTATGTACATCCGTGAAGCAATATCTTGCTTCAGGAGAAGTTCTGCCTTTACCTGTGCCAAGCTCATGTTCCTAGGTTGGGAAGGATAAAGTCAGTAGAAGGTTACTGATGGATGAAGGTACATCTACTCGAGGTATGAGTGGAAACTTCTTGATGGGTCAAGAAATTTGCCAGACATCTATACTTTTCTTCTCACCCCACCCACAGAGCTAGGCACCAATGTGCGTGGATGTCACTGTCTAAAGATTTTCTAGGAGAAGAATATAGCACAATAATATTTGAAGTTATTAATCCATGCTTTTTCTTCTCGCTTTATCTATATATCTATATCTATATCTAAATCTAAAACTATATCTATATCTATTTCTGTATCTATATATATGTCTTTTACCCCTTATTTGTGCATATAGTTGGTGCTGGGGAAGTGTGAGCCAAGGTAATATTTCTGGCTGTTAATTTCCAATAATGCAAGTCTGAAGAAGTCAGGCAAGATTACCAGAAAAGGCCAAATGTAGGATTTGTGGGCACTGACAAGTGTTTGGGCCAGAAACATGACGGGAGGTGAATTTTCCAAGCTAGAAGGAGATTCCCATGGGAACAGGGCAGTGTAAGGAGGAGAAGGAGGAGTCTGTGGGAACAAGGAGATAGGGTCCTTGCCTGATTTCCAACTATATAAAGAAGAGAATAGTAAGACTCCATAGAGGAAATAGGTGCTTGGAATTGAGACAAAGGAAATTAAGAGGATCTGTTCTTCCAATAACAAACATTTTGGAATTATAAAGAATGTTGCAGAGTGCCTAGGTGGCTCAGCTGGTTGACCAACCAACTCTTGGTTTTGGCTCAGGTCATGATCTCAGGGTCCTGAGGTGGAGCTCTACGTTGGGGCTCTGCGCTCAGTGGGGAGTCTACTTGAGATTCTCTCTCTTCCTCTCCCTCTGTCCCTCCCCCCACTTTTGCACTTTCTCTCTCTCTCTCTCTCTCTCTCTCTCGCAAATAAATAAATAAATAAATAAATATTTTTTGAAATATAAGGAATGTTTCCGGGAGTCTAGAGTCTTTCATGGTTTCTCTCCCTTTCTGAAATCTTCCCATTCTTCAACACTACATCAAAAACTAATGATGTATTATATGTTGGCTAATTCAACATAATAAAAAAAATAATAAAAATCATGTTACAAAAAGATTACAAAAAGGAAAAAAAAAAGTAATGTTGAAATGAATATTCTAGAGTCCCTGTGCAAGAGTTTTTCTGTAAATTATACTTCAGAAGTTGACTACCTTTAAACTTTGCTAGATATTGTGAAAATGCTTTCAAAATTATACCAATTTGTGGGATGCCTGGGTGGCTCAGTCGGTTAAGTGGCTGCCTTCGGCCCAGGTCATGATCCCAAGGTCCTGGGATCGAGTCCCACATCAGGCTCCTTGCTCAGCAGGGAGCCTGCTTCTCCCTCTCTCCTTCTGCTTGTGCTCTCTCTGTCAAATAAATAAAATCTTTAAAAAAAATTATAAAAAAAATTATACCAATTTGCTCTCTCAATCCTTAACTTTCTCTTTTCAAATTTAAACTTTGCTCCCTATAGTAAAACTTCACTGTTCATTAATCATCAGGAATTAACATTAAAAATTTGAAAGTCCTGTTTCCCCTACTTCCTTACCACTACTTACTTTTGAATTTTTTCCAGTCTGAGGACATGAAAGGTACCTTGTTTTAATTTGCATGTTCCTATTACTAGCAAGTTACTTTTTTTTTTTTTAAATATCTTCATTGGTCATATAGAGATTCTCTTCTGTGAACGGAAGGTTTATATTAATTTCTTTTGGGGGCTTTTGTCTTTGTCTTACTTAGAAGATATTTTTCATTATTCTAGATTAAAATTATTTCTCAAATGCATTGTAACTATTTTCTCTGTCTGTAGCTTGTCTTTAAACTTTGTTTATGGTTTCTAATGTATAAAGTTTTTAAATGTTTATGTTATCAAATGTATTTAACTTATAGTTTATACTTGATGGTTTAGTCTTTTTTTTCTTCATAGACTTTATTTTTTAAAGGTTTAGTTTCATACAAAATTGAGCAGAAGATACACAGATTTCCCATATTCCTCCTGCTCCAATGCATGTATGGCCTCCCCTATTATCAACATCCCTATCAGAGTTGTATGTGTGTTATAACTGATGAACCTTTTTATATTTTAAGAAATCTTTCTTCAATATTATAAGATAGTCTTCTACATTTTCTTCTAGAACTTTTAAGGGTTGCTTTTAGCTTTTAAGTCTTTAGTCCATGTGGACTTTCTGTTTGCTTATGGAATAAGGAGGAATTTAATTTTCGGATATATTTTTAAATTTGTTCCTTAATCACATGGGGTCAACCCATTCTATTGACAGATTCACCTGCAGTTCTACCGAAAAATCCAGGACAGCAAAGCAGCTCCTAGCAGACATCAGGACCAGACATTGTGGGTAAACCACCAGACTCATCGATAAACCTCAGATGCCAAAGAGCAAACTAGTGGTGCTCCTTGAGTGAGTGAATGGTGTGACTTCTGTGGAATCTCTCATGCTGTGAACATTGGCTAATGGGAAACCAGGAACATCCACTGATTGAAAAAGGATATAACTGGGCTGTCCTCACAACTGGATATCAGGATCTGGATCAAAATAACCAACCAACTAGGAAATGTAGCCACAAAGATGGCAGAACTAATGTATCCAAAGAACTTTTTTTTTTTTTAAAGATTTTATTTATTTATTTGACAGAGACAACAGTGAGAGAAGGAACACAAGCAGGGGGAGTGGGAGAGGGAGAAGCAGGCTTCCCGCTGATCAGAGAGCCTGATGCGGGGCTCGATCCCAGGACCCCGGGATCATGACCTGAGCCGAAGGCAGACGCTTAACGACTGAGCCACCCAGGCGCCCCTCCAAAGAACTTTTTGAAGCAAATGTAGATAACCCAGAGGAAATTAGTTTCTGAATAATGTTTCTTCTCTGTCGTATCACTAACTTACTTAGCATATACTATAATCTTCTTTAAATTCTTAAAAAACAATATAGTGGAAAGGAAAAATCCTATTTTGATTATTTAGTTGGAAAAAGTAAAAATAAAATTTATATTATTTCTCTCCACTTCCAAAAAGAATAAAATAAAATCAATTTTAATAATTTGAGCAGAGATTAATACCATTTTTTTCCAAAATAAAATAATTACACAGAATTTCAGGTAATCTTAATATTTATACAGATTTTAAAAGAAAATAAAAGAAAACCTTGACTTACATAAAGCACTTATACTGATGATTTCTGAAGTAAATGAATCATATCAAAATTAAAAGTATAACTTAGAATCCAGTGTGATGTCTAAGATGAGTGTCAATTTAAGTACTTGAAATAGAGATCAATATTTGTAATAAAATTAAAAATAAATTAAAATAATTAGCTGGGAATATCCCACATGCATTCTAAATCCCCCAGTCGGCCTAGGTAATTTTTCTTATTCTTCCACAACACATGGCATTCTTTCTATGAATGACATCAGTTTGGAAATACCCTGTGGTTTTCTGAGTTATAAATGGATATCTCACTATGAACTCCTGATTATATTATGATTCATACTTTCACTTCTGTTTTTTAATGCTATCATTTTGAAAAGTGAAAATGAAACTGTTTCATTGGCCAACAGTGCACAAGGGAGAAGAAAAATAAGGTTGAGTGTAATGATTTACAAAATATTTAGGCATTATTGTCTGAGAATATTGTGAGAATAATTTCTTAAGGAAAAAACAGTGTAGTATTATGACAAAAATGCTCTCAGAGAGTTATTCTGGGACTTAATGATTATTGTCATAGTTCTGCTTTACATAGGAACTTCACTTATGATTTCGTTTGGCATCTATCTATCTATCTATCTATCTATCTATCTATCTATCTATCTATCTATCTATCATCTATCTATCTATCATCTATCTATCTATCATCTGTCCATCTATCTACCGATCCATTCACCTGTCTATAAATCTTTTAAAACTTTTTTTACCCATGGAACTGGGTTTTACCTTTAGAATTTGTTCTCTTTGCCTTTTACCTTTAGAATTTGTTCTCTTAATCAGTACACTATGATAGAAAGATGATGATAGCTACTTAGCTAGCTAGCTAGATACTAAATAAGAAAGAAAGGAAGAAAAAAAGAAAGAGAGGAAGAGAGAAAGAGAAAAAAGAGAGAGAGAGAAAGCAAAAAGAAGGAAGGAAGGAAGGATCATATGGAAAGTTCTAACATGATTCCAGGTTTGAGAGACTTTATTGAGACTTTAGGTTTCCTTAGGGCAGGGTCACACCTGCTCATTGCTGTGTCAGTTCCTGGCACATGGCAACATTCAACAAGTATTTGTTGAAAAAATGAACACAACAGGATAAAAACAAATTCTTGTACATCATGGTTTTCTGTGGAAAACCACAAGAAAAAAAAATGTCTTCTGAGTTCTCAGCACTAGAAAGTGACCATGAAGTATCAGGAATCTAATGAGATTCTTCTTTTACAAGATCCTTAAAATATCAATGCTCCTATCATGAGGTATGAGGTTGAAGACTAGATGCCTCAATGCTACGTGATTCGTTATTTAACATTACTTGTAGATTGAGAATTTTGCCAGAGATTATAAACCCTTTATAAAGATTAATGTGATTTAAAAAATCTTTCTATTAAATGTGAAATTTACCTTCTTGGGCTGCCTGTCACCAAATGGCAGTTCCTACCAAGGAATTATGTCTTATGGGTCAACATGTGTTTTCCTATAAATGAAGTAATTCCTCACCTTCAAATCTCCCCTGCCCAGACCAAATATTTTTTCTACCTACACTGCTTTGATGCTTGTATTTCAGATTTACCAACTCCTTTAGCTTAAGGCATTGAAGAATGATCTTAATATCACCTGTTTTTATTTATTTACTTATTTATATATATTTTTAAAGATTTTTTAAAAGTAGGCTCCATGCCCAACGTGGAGCCCAGTGTGGGGCTTGAACTCATGACTTTGAGTTCAAGACCTGAGTTGAGGTCAAGAGTCGGACACTTAACTGACTGAGTCACCCAGGTGCCCCTAAAGATTTTATTTTTAAGTAATCTCTACACTCAACATGGGGCTTGAGCTTACAACCTGGAGATCAAGAGTAGCATGCTCTACCAACTGAGCCAGCCAGGTGCCCCAATATCACCTGTTTTTATTTATTTATTTATTTATTTATTAAAAAGATTTTATTTATTTATTTGACAGAGAGAGACACAGCGAGAGAGGGAACACAAGCAGGGGGAGTGGGAGAGGGAGAAGCAGGCTTCCCGCGGAGCGGGGAGCCCGACGCGGGGCTCGATCCCAGGACCCTGAGATCATGACCTGAGCCGAAGGCAGTCGCTTAACCGACTGAGCCACCCAGGCGCCCTATCACCTGTTTTTAATCATCATTTCACCTTAAGATAGAGTAGTCTTAACAAAGTAGTTAGCCAGTCACTCTTCAGATTTCTAAGAGGTCAGAACACAGGAGAGATATGATTGTATAATGGTAAGGAGTAAAATAATGCCTAGAGGGCAGCACATTTATGAAGACTGTTCAGTACGAAATATAAAAGTTACTCCTTCCCAAAATTGTCTGGAGAGCCCTAAAACACCATTTAAAAATATTAGAACATCCTAATGTCAGTTACACCAAAAACCTGAGCTGAAAACTGAGAATAGCAGTGATACTAATAAAATTGTTCTTGTTTTAAGCCATTATGTTTTGTGATAGTTAATCAGCAATAGATTGCCAGAACAGAATCGCTAAAGATTAAATGGTTATTAATGAAAACAAAGTCAAATGGTGAGATTCTCTTTGAAAATTAAGGAAGTTAAAAGGAGAAATATGGAAGTCATCTTGAGGCAGAATAGTTTATAAATCATTAAAATTTGACTTGTAACCTGGTAAATATTTTTAAAAGAAATAATGTGTTAAACAGAAAGGGAGTTGGTCAGCCTGGCATAAGAAAGAATAAAAAAAAGAATTCATGAAGTACACTTTGGCAGAGAATTCTAGGGAAAATTTGTTCCCAAGTTTTTCCCTGTGTAATACTAGTTGTTGAAATTATAGCATTATTCTTTGCTTGATGCCATTGAACATCTTGTTTAAATCAACCCCCACTTACTCTGAATTCATTTTCACTAAGCAATATTTTGATTATAATTTGATTTCTGATATAGCTTTACAAGGAAGGAATGCTTTGGCTAGAGGACCCCTTGGCAGTTGTATCTCTCATCATAATTAATGTTTTTTTCCTCTGGTGTGTATAGAAGTCTCCCGAATCTAGTTTGTATGTTACAATTCCCAAGTTTGACTAAGCCGGGGACACTGGGAAGATTGAGTTTTCAAAGAGACAAGACTGAGCAGTGGAGTTTGGGCTGTGGTGGCCTCCCCAAGGCTGCTGCCACTTGGAGGAGTCCTCCCGGCCTCACCACTTGTGGGGACAGTGTGCAAGAGTACCCGGTAAGATGTGTGGCACAGAGTAGTGCCCCAAAAACATTAGTTTCCATCCCCAAGTGTTTTCTCTGACAGTTTATACAAAGAAGCAGCAGAGCAGAAGGAAAAAGAGAGCAGTTTGCGGAAGGAATGCTTTATTGACATATTAAGCTCTGATAGAAATCTCTCCTGTGATGACATATTGTGCCTTGTCAGGTGTTACAGTTAATTGTATGTGTCAAGTTAACTGGTTCACAGGGTGCCCAGACATTTGGCCAAACATTATCCTGGGTATATCTCTGGGAGTGTTTCTGGATGAGATTAACATTTGAATTGGTAGACTGAGCGAAGCAGATTGCCTCCCCCACCCCATGCGGGTGGGCCTCATCCAATCAGTTGAAGGCCTTGGTAGACCAAAAGTTTGGCCCTCCTGCACAAGAAAGAACTCCTTATGCCTGAAAGCCTTTGAGCTGAGGCAACAGTTTTTTTTTTTTTTCCCTTGCTTTCAGACTCTAACTGAAACATCAGCTCTTCCTGGGTCTTGGGCCTGCCAGTATTCAGACTGGGACTACATACACCATCAGCTCTCCTGTGGTCTCCAGTTTGGTGACTGAAGATCTTGGAACTTGTCAACCTCCATAATCATGTGAGCCATTTTCTTGTACTAAATCTCTTTCTCTGTCTATATACATCTGATTGGTTCTGTTTCTTTGGAGAATCCTGACTAAATAATTGAGTGTCTTCATCAAATGGCATATTACCAGAAAATTTTACTTTTGCCCGTGAATTAGGTATTTTAATGTATTTACTGGCAGGGGAAAAATATTTCATCTAAACTAGATTTTCTGTGACTTGGTGTGAATGTGTTTCCTATTTTTTTTTTCTTTACTGAGACTACATCCCATCTCATTAACACTTGTCAAATTTATTATCAGTAATGGAAAATTATATGCAGTAATGAACTTAAAAATTTGGTGTACTCTTATGTCAGAGATGTCTGTGGTATATCTTGCCTGGTTGGTTTTATTTGTGATGCTGCCCCATTTCCTTTAGCTTAACAGGCTCTTTCCTCAAATCCCCAAACTCAAATCTGACTCATCTCTCCACTGAACCACCCACTACAATGTCAACAGCTCCACGACTTGCAAGTCCTTCCAAAGTGTTTTAAAGAATGATTTATTAAAGGAAAATATACATCAACAAGTAGATATACTCCACCACAGCAGCATGAGACCATTCATTAATTCCACAAGCATTTTTTTAAGCAACTACCAATGCACCAAACTGGAGAAAGAAAGATGAAATAAACACAAACCATTTCCTTAAAGAGGGAAGATATATACAGGCTAAGAGGGAAAGAAAGTACTGGATGTTTATTGAGCATCTGTACTTTATCAGGTAGGTAGTCCATTAGGGGCTTTACAATGGATCTTCACGGCAGCTCTCTGAGGTAGGTACTCACGTGTGTATGAGAACACCTAGGGTCAGAGAAGTCCTCATTTGTGTATAAGAACACCTAGGGTCAGGGAAGTCCTCCTACTAGGAGAAATTATAACTAGCATTCACTGAGCCTCAGTGACAGGGCAGAGTTCAATCCCACCTCTTTTTTCTTCATTTTGTTGCTTTGTTCTAGATTGACACTGTGTGTTATGATAGCCACATGTGGCTATTGAACACTTAAAATGTGGCTAACCCAAATTGAGAAGAACTCCAAGGATAAAATACAAGCCGGATTTCAAAGACTTAGTATGAAAAAGAATGTAAAATATCTCATTAATAGTTTTTATATTGATTACATGTAGAAATGATAATATTTTGGATATAATGATTTATTAGTCAGTTTTCCAGAGGAACAGGACCCATATTATTTCTCTGCCTGTCTATCAACAAAGACAGAGAGACAGGAGAGGGAGAGGTGGGTATTTAAGCAATTGGCTTAAACACTTGTAGGGGCTGGCAGGTCTGAAATCTGCAGAACAGGCTGGTAGGCTGAAATTCAGGTAAGAGTTGATATTGCATTCTTGAGTCTGCAGGGTAGACCAGGGAGGTTGGAAACCCAGGCAGTGTAAGGGATTGAATTGTTGCCCCACCCCAGCCCCTGCCACCAATTCATATGTTGAAGCCCTAATACCTATTGTGAACATATTTGAAGATAAGGCCTTTAAGAGGTAATTAAAGTTAAATGGAGTCATAAGGGTGGGTCCCTACTCTGACTGGTGTCCTTATGAGAAAAGTAAGAGACATCAGTGATGCATGAGCACAGAGACAGCCATGGGAAGACACAGCAGGAAGGTGGCCCTCAGCAAGCCAAGGAGACCCCAGGAGAAACCAAACTGCCAAAACTTGACCTTGGACTTCCAGCCTCCAGAACTAAAATTTCTATTGTTTAAGCCACCCAGTCTCTGATATTTTATTATGACAGCTCTAGAATGAGTTCTTTGGGAAACCTCGGTCTTTTCTTTTAAGGCCTTAAGCTGATTGGATAAGGCCCACCCATAGAATGGCGGGTAATCTGCTTACTTAAATCTGATTTTTTTTTCAAAGATTTATTTATTTGAGAGAGAGAGAGAGAGGGCATGTGAGCAGGAGGAGGGGCAGAAGGAGAGGGAGAGAGAGAAAGAATCCTCAAGCAGATTCAGTGCTGAGCCTGGAGCTGGATGCAGGGCTTGATTCCAGGACCCCGAGATCATGACCTGAGCCCAAAACAAGAGCTGGCCGCTTAATCAACTGAGCCACCCAGGCGTCCCTTAAATCTACGGATTTAAATGTTAATCACGTTGGCCTTTTGGCTAAGATCAAGTGTAGTATCTGTTCTTATCAGTTAATCATGTCTAAAAAATTTTTTCACAGCAACATCTGGGTTGGTGCACGACTGAACAATTGGGCACCATAGCCTAGCCACAATGACACAAAATTAACCATCACACTTGGGCTCAATAAAATATACTATTAAAATCATTTCTACCTGTTTCCTTTTGCTTTTAAAATGTGCCTACTAGAAAATTTCAAATTGTGTATGTGGCTCACATTTGTCACTCACATTACATTTCTGTTGGACAGCACTGCTTGAGACATTTATGAAAATAGATAACAAGTTTCATGAAGGACACATGCACAGGGTGCCATGGGAGCATGGAAGAAATACGTTGACATCCGCTTGGGGCTGTTAAGGAGGGCTTTGCAGAGGTGGTGAGGTGATTAAAGCACTAATTCTGGAGCCCAAATGCTTGGGTTTGAATCTTTGCTCTGCCAACTCACTAGGTGGGTGGACCAGTGCAAGATATTTCCCCTCTCTGTGCTTTTCTTCATCTGTAAAGGGAGGGCAGTAATTAAGCCCTGTGCAAGGGGTCATTGTGAGGGTTAAATGAATTTATACATTTTAGCATTACAACAGTACCTGGGACAGGGAACCTCCTCAAATATTAGTTACAGAGGGTCATGCTTGAGCAGAATCAGGACAGAGGAGGGGCTGGACAGACCCCGAAGGGCTTATGGAAAAGGGATGAATTTCCAACGAGGGGAACATCAAACCCTCTTCTTTGGGCTTCATTTACTGTTTTACCACAGGGAAATCAGCTGCAGGGCCAAATTAGTCTATTCTGTGGCTTAGAGGTTGGCCAACTTGCACTGACTTTCTACATCATTCAGTGAATAACTGGCATACACTCGGCAAGGTGCCTTTTGGTCCTCATCGTACCTGATCTCAGCAGCACACAGTTGTGCTGACCACAGCCTTTTTTCCAGAACACTGGATTTTTAGCATGATTGTCTCCTGGTTTTCTCCCACCTCTGTGGGTGCTTCACCTTTGACTCCTTTGCACAGTCAGTCCTCTTCTGGACAAGCTCTGTCCTCTCTCTCTCTTCTCATTCTGTGCTTCCCCACAGAACATCCGATACACACTCATGTAAGACTGTATTTACCACAGATACAGCACATGACTCACAAGTTTGCATCTATAAACCAGACTTTTCCACTCAGCTTCCAATCTGAATAGTCAAATGCCTACTTGGTTACCTCCACTGTATGTCTCAGAGACATCTCATATTCAACATGTCCTAAAATGCATTCACCTGCTCCTCATCACGTATCTCTTGTTCCTTTTCAGTGTTCCCAACTTGTATCTTACAAGCCAGAGACTTATGATTTATCCTTCATCCCTCTCTCCTTTATTGTCCAAATTTAACCTGACATCAAGACTTACCAAAAGAATAGAGGAGCTCATGGAGATCCAAGAATCTACCATAATTATAACTCTCTTTGAGAGAAAATGGCTTGAAGCAGTATCTTCCTACAAACTTTGATGTGACTCATGGCAATTATTCATGTTGAGTGGAAACAATGGGCACAATGGATTAGACCAGGGATCGGGAGATAGTCTGTTAGAGAGGAGACTAGAAATCATGTTGACCAGGAGAGATGACCACATTTTCTGAATTTCCAGTTCCTAGTCTGTCTGTAAGAGGCCCTGCTATACTTTATTTCGCACCTATGAATATCCATGAAATTTTCCTTTTTGTAGCTTTCTAATAAAACTCTTATTTGCCCTTATTAAGGAAAACTTTTCCTCACCGTCAAACAATCCCTGACCAAGACAAGAATTAAATGGGATGATGTATGAGTTCTTTTCTTTTGTTTTCCTTTGTAAACTATAAAGACAAGTATGAGGAGCAGCTATTCTTTCTTTCTCTTGTGAAACTTGGCTTTCAGAATGGAAATTTATTTCATGTTGGCCAATTAGATTGTGAAAAACCAAGCAGAAAAAGATGTTGCTATAATGAAGTATGAAATGCATGTTATTAAATGGGTTTTGTCTTAAGACAATCAGCATAAATGCACAAGCAAACATTATTCATTTGCAATCCAGAAACTTTTAAAGTCATTCAGCTGCATTTCCCCTTTTTCCTTCAGAAAGGATTAATCTGAGCTCCTACATTTATGGACAAAGAGATCACCTCTGGTCACACTTCAAAATTTAGTTGTACAGCTATGAAATCAATTGGCCTAGACCTTAAATCTCATTCCTATGAAAAGGTTTTATCATTGTAGCTGTATGAACGAGTGTTTTTAGAAATTTTTTTTTTGCTAAATGTTGTTGAAAATGTTGCAAATGCATTTCTTTTATTTACTTCATAAACTTTTTATTGGCCTTCAGAGGGGTTCATTCAAGCAAAGATTGAGATGAACTTAAAGGGTAAAGATCTGAAATCAGAAGAATCACCTTTTCTTTTTTTCCTTCTTTCTCTCTCTTTTTCCTTCCTTTCCTCCCTCCCTCCCTTCCTTCCTTCCTCCCTCCCTTCCTCCTTTCGTTCCTTCCTTTTTCTTTCTATTCTTCATATCTCTCTAATATCTTGTTTTTCCTTATCTATGCATAAGGAGATCTGAGGTTGACCTACATTTTCTTTTGTAATCTTGTTCAGTTATTTAGAGCAGATATCTTAATCTTTTTTGTTATCCCTGGTACCAGATGTCAGTGGGGGTATAGAACCATTTTGGAACTTTCCCAAGGGTAAATGATGAGTGTGGGGAAGAGCCTGTAAGAAGATTGATGTCTCTTGTTCAGAGCTCCAAGGACAATATCTCTGAATTGAGAGTAAAGCTTGCATTTGAGGAATGTTTCTTATTCCTGACAAACAGCATATTGCATA